TATGAAGTTCAACCGTGTCGAAATCATCAATTACTTATATCAGTTTCATGGTTTTTGATAAGAAATAAACCGCAGGCGAAGAAAAGAGGGGAAAAGACAATCACATCACCATGGTAACCACCACTTCTTGTTCTTATTGTATCAGTGATCTTCAAATTAACGTCATTATCCAGCTGAGCTGACAGCCAAGCAGCTCGGAGCGTGTTATCTTCTCTCTGAGGTCCTGGCTCTACTTAATGTTCGCACAGACATGACGCCAGATTGTAGTGTCTAGACTAGATGGAGGTGACGCTGACACCTCGACTCGAGGACACCATGGTTGCCTGGAGAATGTGATCTTGAATTTTCAACGAAACAGTCGTACAGAGAGAAGCTCCACACAGCTCATTTAAGTGATGAGACTGTTACACTCCAACAAACACCTGCGATCATGTTCCATTGTTTGGTGGAACAGGAACCTGAAGGAATTATCAACAATAATAATCATCATGACCATCATCATCATCGTCATCATTATAATCATCATCATCATCATCACCATCATCACCACATGCTTTATCGCACATCTGTTCAGTTTGTGTCAGACTTTGAAGAGAGGGACTATAATTTTACGACACTTTTACCCTAGTCAAAGCGGCAATGCCTATAATTATCGTTACCACAGTGTGGAGAACCCGGGTCGTCAGTATGAAGAAATAACGCTACAACCGCTAGGCTACTTCCAGAATAGGATACACATGTGTATATTTATAAGCTCGACTTGGAATATGATTGTCTAGATGAAGATTAATACGGGTATAACCTGAGAGTATAAGGAAGTATTACCTCTCAGAGTGTTTCATTTCTTCTATGACTTAATCAAAAACGAACGCATTGGTACAAGAGACAATCAGTGAAAGAGCTCGAATTTAATTTAAATAGAGAAATGCCGTCTTGCAGCTCAGGTTACTTCTGATTACAGTGAAACAATTTGTCATTGATGACAACTAAGAAAATCTCTGAATTATATATTGTCTTGAAAAGTGTAACACACTCTATAGCGGAGTTGTTCTTAATATTTATGCATGTCTTTGACCTTTGAACCGATTCTAAAATCAAACGAGGTTTTCAAACATCTGAAGGATTTTTTACCTGGCAAATCTCTTATGGCAGCTGATCACTGCTCTGTACCTCAGTGTACATCTGATGCGAGATACAACAATTCATTTTCGTTTCACACATTTCCGAAGGCTGAAGATGTGCGAAGGAGATGGATAATTGCCATTCGTCGGGACGAAGGACCCTTCTTTACGGTAGGTTAAAATTTTCATTCAGGATTTTCGAAATTAAATCTCGAGAATTTGAGTCGTCCAAACAGCAACGAATATATTATCGGAGCTGCAGTTGTCAAACAGATTATAAGACAAAAGATATTTTGTCTCAAACAACTACATGATAGCATTTTGCATGTCAAATTTGTTTTCAACTATACTTTCGTGTTACTAAATTACCAGGACGATTGCATACATTAGCCTTACGTGGTCCTATTTGAAACAATGGCAGATGGACCCAGGAAGAATTATTATAGAATCACTTATATACACAACTATTTATTGTAACTATTAAAAAAAAGAGATATTTTTTAAATCTTGGAGCTCAAAATCTATAATGACAGTAGACTTATTTTAATTTCACTTGTATTTAGATCACCAGGAAGAGTGTTGTTTGCTCGAAGCATTTCCGGCCTGAGGACTACAAGTACACACCGGTAAGGAGGACCCTCAAGCAAGGATCTGTGCCATCCATATTTCCTTGGAACTTGGAAAATATGAAGTCCAGAAAAGCACCAGCCATCCGTCATCCACTGATGCCAAAACAAGTAATTTCATGGGAAAGGTCAGTTTAAGAGTTAGAAACAAATTGGTAGATGTGTAAGCACTACTTCAGTTCAAATGCTCTTTAACTAAAGATGTCTTTCTTTTTTGTGGTATCCATTAATTTAAAGTATTTCCATCTAATTAAATTTCAGATGAAGGATTCATAATCACTGATGACCCTCATACCTCATCATAATATTTAGAAATGAATAAATGTTGAAGTATACAAACATTTGATTTCCACTGAAAGTAAATTCTTTATTTTTTCAGTCCTGAAAATGCAAACTCCATGTCAGATTGTGACCCTCATGCAGAAGGTGAGCACCAGTTGTCAGCTCAGACCCAGACAGATATCAGTCTGTTTGATTCACAGGTGCTTCTAAAAAGAATTCAAGAGCTTGAGGAGGAGAAAGATTTGTTAAAAGAACAGCTCACCCTTGAGAGATTTGGACTGGAAAGATTTGCTGGAAATGATGATATGATCCAGTACTACACATCTTTTCGTAGCTATAAATTGTTCAAACAGTTTTTTGACTTTGTAAAACCAAGTGCCTCCAATATGTGCAGTATGTATTATACATGCTCAAATGCCATTTCTCTTGCAGGTAGACCAAGAAATATGGCCCTTATTGATGAAATGTTCATGTTTTTTGTACGCCTTAGGCTTGGTTTACCAGAACAGGATCTTGCTGTTCGTTTTAACTGCCATATTTCGACTGTTAGTCGAAAAATTATCACCTGGGCAAATTTTCTCTATTTTGTTCTTGGATCAGTTCCTATCTGGCCTTCCAGAGTGACAGTAGACAGACACATGCCTCCTGAATTTCAGATAACTTACCCATCTACAAGAGTCATTTTAGATTGTACTGAGCTCAGGATCCAAATTCCCTCAGCTTTGGTGTTAAATTCCATGTTTTACTCCCATTACAAGAGCTCTTGCACTCTGAAAGGTCTGATTGGCATTGCCCCAAATGGTGCTATTACCTTTGTATCCAATCTGTACACAGGTGTCATGTCAGATGTTGAAATAACTAAACTGTCTGGCATTCTAGATTTGCTGGAACCTGGGGACAGTGTTATGACTGATAAGGGTTTTACTATTGCCAGTATACTGAGTGAGAAAGGTGTTGGTCTGAACATTCCTCCATTTCTGTATTCCTCTGGACAGTTCACGCCTAGTGAAGTATGGGAGACACAGTCCATTGCATCCCTTAGGATTCATGTAGAAAGACTGATCAGAAGGGTTAAAGAGAATCACCTGTTTGATTCTACAGTCTCTCTTGCTGAACTGGGCAGCATTAATCAGTTGTGGACTGTAGCATGCATTACATCAAGTTTTCAAGGACCTTTGATAAAAAAGAAATGAAAGAAAACTGATTGAGGTTTAATGTTGATTAGCATGAAATTTGTATTGCATTTTTATGAGAACATAATATATACATCATATTGACACTAATGGTATAACAGAGTATTTATTTACAGTGTTTGTTAGTTTTCATCAGAGTTTATAATAGATTCAGGACCTATTATGAAACTATGATCATAGTAAAAACTCAAATCAAATAAATTTCTGAAAACTTCAAAATACAAATTTGTATTACATGTTCAGATCACCAGATAGCTTAGGCTATAATACCTGGGTAACCAAAGTTAGACACATCCTGTTTCAATATGGATTTGGTTATGCTTGGCTAAGCCAAGAAATTGGAAATGTGGAATATTCTGTGTATCTATTCAAGCTAAGGCTAGGTGATAACTTAAAACAGTCTTGGTTCTCATTAATTAGTGAATCTCCTAAATGTATATTTTACAAGGAGTTCAAAACTTTGTTAAATGTTAAAAAATATTTGTTTTGTTATATCCCTGTGCATATAAGAATTGCTATATCAAGGTTTAGATGCAGTAATTTAATACGGCTGTTGAATGTGGCAGGTATAATGGAATTGAATATAACGAAGGGCTATGTCCTTTTTGTAAAACCAGAGGTCAGCATTATATAGAAAATGAATATCATGTACTATATATTTGTAATACCTATGATATACCTAGAAAGAAATATATAACAAAGTTCACTAAAGAACCACTTACTCATTACTCTGTCGTAAATCTTTTGCAAAGCAAAAATGATGCTGTCATATACAGTGTTGGCCTATACTTATACCATGTACAGAAACTGAACTCCAGGACATAGAGCTGCAAAGTTGTATTGCGCACCCACTAAACACAATGTCAGTCTGATTGTATTATGGGCGAGGGCCTCTTTACTGAATAAATACTGTCTGTCTGTCTGTATTACAGATAAGATTATGTTGTGGTAACAAAGTTACATTTAAATTGTTAGATTGTCAAAAGATGTCATTATTGATTCTGTTGAATAAATGCTACTGTAACAAAAGTTTTATGACAAATGCTCAAAACAAACTTGTTAATATAAATTAATAAATGTGATTACAGCTAAATCTGTAATATTTCTTCGACTGTATATTTTTTTTATACACAGATCTTTTACATTTGTATAGATATCAATGTTTTTTAATATACACAGGTAGTAAGTAAAAATGCTCAGAATTATGATATGCTGAAATTGTGAGTATCTCCCTTTAAACAATGCCAGAATTTCTAATAAGCAGTGAACTAGATCAATATTGCATGGTTTTGTTTCTGAATGATTAATAACAATACACAAAGTGTTATGAACAGAGAACATGTTTGATGTATATATGAAATATATACCTCACATTATATGTTTATCAATTAAACAATGAAAGAAGTTGATCTTGTTGTATTTTTCTGAATGCATTAAACTTGATATGATTTCATCTAGCTTGATGTTAAGAATATTGCTGATTTTTTTGGTAATTGAAATAATCAGAGAAATGACTTCTAACATAGTAGTACAGAAACTATGAAAGAAGGTAATCAAAGAAGAATTTATCTGCCTTGTCTTTCACCCTTTGCCAGCTCTCAGGACAAAAGTCAATTCTCTCGAGATGGTGTTGCCTTTCAGACCAGACAAAGAAATCACACCATTTCAAACCAGTCATTGCCAGTTGCATCTGGATCTGATGATAGTAGTTACATGTTGCCTTAAGAGCAAGCTGGCCATTGTCCTTCAGGCTGAGGTACTGCAGATCACAGAGGTCCTTATTCCGCAGGTCTGGACACTTCACCTCCAGTAGACCAAAAAGGAGGGTTGGAGCTGGGGTCTAGCACCTTCCGGTCTGGAGAAGCAGCCATCCATGCTGCTCTGGGACTTATTACAATCCCACAGGGATATATATTCACATTGCCCTCCTTTAGCTGAAATATCAACATACAATTTTAAATATAGGCACATGTGTACACTTCTTTATATTTATTATGTATGTTGAGATTACTCTCCTTAATCCCAAATATTAACATTCAATGTTAATTACATATACACATGTACATTTATTCAGTTGATCCATTTACACATATGATTTAATCAATCTGAAATGTTTACCTTCCCATATGCCTCTACTGCAAAAGGCTCATTGGCAATGCCCTCTCTCATTGCCTCTGTGAGGACGGTCCTAGAAGAAGATCTCAGTCTTTCTGCAAACTTCTCTGGTTCTGAAATTTTATTATTATTTTTTTTAATGTAATGGATTTGGGTGCAACATTTTCTTTTAATGAAATTAATGACATAAAACTTAATGTTAATTAGGTTTATTTTCTGTTTACCTTTTTTACGCTTTGAAATTTCTCCAATTTTGGAAGCTGTGACCCTGTGACGTCTCAGACGAACCCACTTCTTGTCCTGCGCCTGGAGTCTGGTAGCCTTCTCTATCTCCACAGCCTCATCCTGACTGACACTGAGTGAGTCTAGCAGAGTTGTCTGACTCTCTGTCAGCACACTGCTGTAGTTGTTCTCTCCTGTCTGCTCAGCACTAATGGGTAAATCAGGATAAAATCCATCCACAATGTTTATCAGATAATTTCCAGATAATTTCTGTTGATGGCTGATGGTACTACCCTTAGGAAACAATCCAAAATTAGTTCTTACAAAAGGTGGTGCTGGCTCATCAGTCTGTGGAACTGTTGTTAATAGTGATAGATCAGGATGATTTAACTTCAGGGATGAAAAAAATGGTTCCAATGGTGGAAGGGTAGACCTAATGGGGTTGTAAAGGGTTGATTTCACTGGCCTGTCCTCTCCATCACTCTTGTATCCAGAAACCTTTATCTCCGGTACTGACATACCGGATATTTTGTCCTGGCGAGGGATGTGCCATGTCTGTGGCATGGAGGTCTTGGCAATATCCTGTGGGATGGACTTCATTCCTCTCTGCTTATAGTGGGCCACCAGATATAAAACACCTGTGTAAGAAAAACATATTTTCAGGAACAATGAAATCAGATACTCAGTTTAATATATACAGACATTACTTATTATTCATTGAAATAGGCTAATGACATACCTGTCACATGACCACAACACTGGCTCTTGACCTATGGCACAGCTGCAGCTGGCGCTGACCACTTTAACCACTGGACTGCTCTCTAAGGTGACCTGCATTTCATAGTACATGTACTTGAGTGAAATGAATGTACTAGGCTATCACAATTTAACATAAATGAGATATTTTACAAAATATGTGTTCCTATATATATATATATATATATATATATATATATATATATATATATATATATATATATTCTGATATCAGACTGATAATATTTTTTCTTGACAATACTATGAACCCAACTTACAGTTATATTGTGTGGCGAGTCATTTTTCTTCATGGAACGGTAACAACGAGCTGTTATTACGCAAGATGTGTCATCACATGATGCTGCCAAAAAAACCGATTACAGGTGAAAAAAAATACAAGACAAGGGAATAATGTTACACGAAATAACATCATTTGAATTTTACATAGATCTAATAACTATCTGACGGTTACGGCCTAGGTTATTGACATGATGGAACTTAGGTTAAAGTAGTTCAAAAACAGCTTTTCAGTTGCACTTCATAATAATTAACGTATGTCCCGTAATTTTCAGGGTGAAGTCAATATGATAACATGTCAAGAGGAAAATAAGCCTTCTTCAATCATAAATCAGCAATGACATAATGACATTGACAGCCATATTGCGATCGCTACTGTACCATTTACAACATTGGAAATTGATGAATGAAACTTACTTCGCAAATTATAAATGAACCCTTCACTATAATATTTGAAGCCTTTGTTCAGTTGGGAAGTCCCGGCACTTCTGCTATTCATCTGTATATAAGTCTCCACGAAGGAAAATGTGAGAGACGGGACAGCCGTCAGATCGCTTCCGGATTTCGTCGCCATCACGATTCGCTGATTACGCGGGTATGACCTCGTTTTGATATTGGTCAAAGGTCACATGCATAAATATTAAGAGTGGCCTATCAAGCGCAGCATATCAAGAAAATTATTCTTCCAAAGAGTATAGCACAATTTGTCAATGTCGTAATGTTTATTTTTAGTCTTTAGAATTTGTGCAGAAGAAAGTTGAATGTTAGTGCTAACAGAACCACGGCTAACAGAAGTGCGGTCTGTTTAGATTTTTAAAACTATTGAATGCATATCCATGCATATACGCTAAACTGCAATAGCACCATTTTTTAAGCGTTTTATGTCCCAGCCTGTTACTCTTGCAACGTTCCTTGAACGGTCGATGTTATTTGAAATAAAGCTCAACATACTCCAGTGCATCAACTGAATTTATCACCTGGTAGGAAAAGTTCCGTCAGTTTATTACCAGGAAACGCCAAGGATTGTGATCAAGTTTGAAGCACACCTCCACCACTGAATATTAAAGACAGCAAATTGCATCATTATACAAGACCATTCCCAACACGAGTAACTTGGCTTCATCCAGTGAATGTTAAAGATGTTGGTTCGGCAACAGTAACAAGTGGAGTGATGTGCCGCCAAATCAACCCCTGACAGACCCGACTCTCTACCATTGATTCCAATCTTGCGTTTCCTCTGTGTTTCTGATGCAATGTCTCCCATGTGCCCAGTCCCTCCGTTGGATGGCGGTAGGGGGAATGATCAAAGGAGATCTTATAACCCTCCCTGTAATATAAAGGACAACTAATCGTTTATTGATCACGCCAAGGCAGGATTCAATCAACAGCTACTTCAGCAACCCTTGTGGGGGTGTTCAGGAAATATTTGGTTTGAATTTTCTCAAGCGAACATTTGAGTTTTATCAGATTTGGGGGTTCTGCCATCTGAAAGATTCCAGTGGTTGGGATGATTGTATGTGATGTATTTCCAGTGACTGATCACAGTGTATGCATCGTGTGTGACGAGCCACATGTTCCGATAACGCCAATAGCTCTTGAGAGGGGTAACTGTCTGAGAAGAAGTCTTGTGCAAGGAGTGGAGAATTAAGAATGTTTAAACTGATTTATCATAAAATATCCTTCATAAATATGCTTAAATCTTCCAGAGTTTTAATAACAATCAAGGGTGATGTGAGTTTGTTTAACCTGGCACTGAACGATATTCCGATTAGCCCGCCAGCTAAATGTTTGAGAAAAGCGCAGCGTCAATATTTCGTACACGGTCACTATTATGGTGAACCTATAATATATATTTAGTGCTAACCGACACAAATTATAATTATATCACATACAAAGTGGACTTATATATATGAGTATATTATTATTTATAATATTATATATTATTGTAGTGATCTGCCTTCGTACAAGATATTTGTATTACAATATTTGGTCCTTTTCTTAATGTTCTTTTAAAACGATCACAATATTGTTAGAACATTTTTGGATGGCATAACGTTTCTCTTGTTTACCGTTCATGGGAAAGGAGTGAATGCCGTTTTACGCCGCACGTGATATCCCGGAAGCATGTCCACAGTTTAGACTCCAACAGGTAAATTAGTGGCAAAAAGCATTATCAACCATTCGGGTAGCCGATTAGCGACTTCACATCAACAAATTGCCAAAGTTTTGTTATCTCTTGTGACACGCAGAAAAAAGAAGGGTTATTGTCACACGTTGTTAAATACGATCCTCATTTAAGCTGGCTCATTCGACAAGCATGTGATGCACTGAATTCTGTTTTGCTCCGGAATCCCTTCAGAGTGAATAAGGAGGTGAATATATTGCATGTATTCTTTTCAAAAACTTTGAAAAGTTTGACCGGGCAGAAAATCTGCAACGTATAACTGTATGACGTATCATGAACTGTTGAGTCGAACCGACTGAATTGACATTAACATTAGAGAATAACCAATCTCGATTGCCCGACAATACAGATTCCCTGTGGCATGAAACATAAAACAGAGATGAAAATTGTGTTAATTTATCACAAGGAAATCAGTGATGACACAACATACTCGCGAAAAAGGTAAGCATGTGGCTCACTGCCCGTAATATCAAGTAACATTGTTACTTCAATGTTCCAGGTTCATGACCAAAGAACCAGTTGGGATAATCCCTCCCCTAAATTTCATTTAATTTTAATTTACAACATTTTGAAAGACTTAGTCAGTGTATTTGGATTTACGAAATGCTTTGCAATAATTTATCTATATCAATGTGATGAAGGAAGATGACTTAGTGAATGGGCTTTGTTTAATGTGTCTATTAAAATGTCATCGGAAATAGAACCGGGGTCGATTCGCTACATTACCACCTCTCTCATTAATGGTGCTTGTCGATCATTCTCCCTGTGATGTAATTCAATCACATTTCTTGCCAAATGAAACTATAGTTCAATGTAGAAATGTTCGTTAAGATCAAGTTGTCTGTATGTCGATCACTATAAGCTCTCATCTCATCTCAAGGTCATGCAATCACTAGCGGTATTTGGAGCTCTATCGGAACAACATTTCGAAAGACTTAGTCAGTGTATTTGGATTTACGAAATGCTTTGCAATAATTTATCTAAATCAACGTGATGAAGGAAGATGACTTAGTGAATGGGCTTTGTTTAATGTGTACATTAAAATGTATCCGGGAATAGAACCGGGATCGATTCGCTACATCACCGCCTCTCTCATTAATGGTGCTTGTCGATCATTCTCTCTGTGATGTAATTCAATCGCATTTCTTGCCAACTATAGTTCACTGTAGAAATGTTCGTTAAGATCAAGTTGTCTGTATGTCGATCTCTATAAGCCCTCATCTCATATCAAGGTCATGCCAATCACTAGCGGTATTTGTATGTCTCTCTATAAGCCAGAACACACTGACGCTAACCATCACATACAGCACGGTTGAGATTACATGACACCTCCCCGAGTAGGGCATCTATTCCCGGCTGTGTTCAGATGGCAGTGTAATTATGTTCTTCAGTCAAACTTACACATATTACACTACAACAAATCACCGTCAGTAATTACCTTCACCTTCCTGACGGATTGATCTCATTTCTGTTGTAGAGACAAGTATGTGATCGGCAATACCAGGAGAAACATCCTCCGGCTGGCGACAACACCTCCTTGTTTCCACTGATGTAACCACTTTGGCAGAACGTCATTGCCACAAATACATATTGGTCTTGAGTTTAACACATCCGAAGCAGCTTCATGTATAAACGTACCCAATGCATCGGAAACCACTTCTCCATCAGGTAAATAATGCAACGCAGGCTGTGAAGGAGAGATTATCTTGTAATCACTTAGGGTCTGATTGTGGATGACTTACGCTTACTTCTGTCATAAATGGTTCCAAGGAGGAAGCGAGTGAATGAGTTCAGCTGCAGTCAGCGTCAATTATCTTCACCACATGTCCTGACTTAAGTCCATGATTGTGAACCTCGATCTTGGTTGACACACTTGGTTGTCATGTCTCAAAACAAAAAAGAAAAGTTGTTTGTTGCCTAAAAGAACCAGGTCGAATCTTGCATTTACAGGACGCCAGCAGACAAATGAACGCACTTCCGCACAATTAATAGCAGAGCTTTAGATTAGTGGACATAGCTCCATGCATTCAAACCTGCGATGGTATTATATCCATAGCACTAAAGACGCTTTGTGGGACAAGGTCCCACTTATGAAACGAAGCATCCAACAATAAAACCTATGAAATTCCTCATTAAACCTACTCCCCCGTCGTGTAACAACATTCTCCGGTCCCACGACTATCCCCATCCAGTTTATAGTGTCTCTACTTCTATGGTCTAATATACCTCAGTACTCGTGGCAATAATGGACAACGTATTATCTGCAGCCGTTTATGAGAGTCACGGGACAGGTGGGTGAGCGTGGTGCCGGGTTAGGCATATTTTCTGACACCAGCGCAACGGGTCGGCCATTAGCCTTCTGATCGTGGACAGAACTGGACCAATTATTGTTTTAGGTATCATGCTGCGTTGGTGTATTCTCCTCTCATAAAATAATATGGC